TGACAGGATGATCTTCCTTTATCTCGTCCTTGGCGGAGGATCAGTTTCCCGCTATCTGGTTCCGATTCCTGTAGGAACTTGTTATCAGCAAAGATCCGTCATGGTGGGTTGGGGTATTTCGGCTATTGGTCCCTGTATTCACTTTCAAATTTAACAGGAGGCCATTTAGATCTGGAGCTCTCATTACTCCTCCCGTGCACGTTATGGGCTTTGTTTAGCCCAGAGATGTTTGTAAGGTTTCCAACAGAATGATGGTTATATTCTCCTCGAGAACAAAAGCTAAGGCGTAGAGGAATATTCATCGTCTTTGCTAATCCACTTAAGACTGAGTGCTGCCGACAGTGATGAGAACCAGGCTGGTTGGTGGGGAAGAAACTGGGGTGGATAGGAGGAAACGAGGAGTTGGGGAAGAAGAAACACAACCGACTGCAAGTAAGTCCCATGACCCGCTGTCAGGTGCCTCTGTTATATCTCGCCATACATCTTTACTCAATCAGTAACCATAATGTCTTGCGACAATAGTCCAACAAGTTCGTCTATTTCGGATGTACAGACAAAACCAACCATTAACATCTCCTCCAGCAAACTCCAACTAATCTATCGTCCCACAATAACCTGATCAGAGCCTACTCCCTCCAAGTATCCTCAACGAAACCCCTTCCTCACATTATCATACTGCGACGCCGGATACTCCAGATGATTCTCTGACATTTCCAGAGCACCGGTACCACCTAGCGAATCCACGACTGTAGTAATCAAACTCTCCGCCCCAGTCTTATCCGCCGAAGTCTCCCACCACATGGCACCCCCCAGGCCCTTATTCCTGATATACTCCGCCTTCTGCCTAGCAATAGCAGGCGTATCATAGCTGATCATCGTCCGTTTGGCAGCATCAAATGAGTAACTCGCACCAATAGTTCTCAGTTCAGACACATTGGCCCCCGCAGGAGGAAGCGCTTTGTAATCCCAGACTCCATCCTCGAAGCTTCCTTTGCCGATCCCATTAAATGGCTTACCCGGCCCTTCGGTGTTTAAGAAGGCGCGCCCGTACAGCGGCATACCGAGAATGAGTTTATGGGTGGGAACGCCGGCAGCTACGTATGCGGAAATGGCTTGCTCTGTGTGGAAGGGTGTTGAAGTGGGGTCATCTCGTGAGAAGTAGAGGTTGGCCTGGTGGCCTGCGGTTGTGTCCCAGCTGCCGGCGTAGTCGTAGGCCATTACATTCCAGAAGTCGAGGTAGAGGTTCATGGCGGATATGTGGAGGGTGTTGTATTTGGAGGGACCTGCTGAGGTAGCTATGCTGAGGAGGAAGTGCGTGCCGTTGCCGTGTTCGCGGCTGTAATTGTCTAGTTCCTGCTTAGGGTTAGTGGGTGATTGATGGATATGGTAATGGGGAAGGAAAGAGTACCTCGCGAACCTCGCGTAGGAGTAATACCATGTCTGAGGCTTGGGCTTCGTTGGCAGGGTACTACGGAGGTAGGTATATTAGCACGGTAATAAAGACGTACCCATAACCATCATATACTAGGTATATACCTCCCAATCTATATCCAATCCATCAAAACCCAAGTCGGCCAGCAACTTGACAGCTGAGGAAGCAAAAGTTTTCCTGCCATGATCCGTACTCGCTGGGATCACAAAATTGGGTGAGTATGTCCAGCCTCCAATCGATAGAAGCACCTTGAGATTGCGATTCTTCTGCTTCAGGAGGTTGAGTTGCTTGACACATCCGTAAACGTTGTTTCCGACATCATTCCATGAATCACCGGGGAAGTGCTTATCGGTGTCCGACCATCGATCGGCTAGGATGACGTCGCCGCTGGAGGCGACGTTGGCGAATGCGTACATAATATGGGTCAGTTTATCGATGGGGATGTCCTGCGGAGTGTGGTTCCTGGCGTAGATTGCCTTTACTCAATCAGTATAACACCAAGAGGATGTATGGTAGGCGGATAAGGTGACTCACCCAGCTCACAAAGTAAGCAATGGACTTGTATTCCGCGCTGGTGTTGCGCGGTATCAGGTGGTGGGTGCCAGGTTCAAGGTGGCTAGGTCCGGGAAATTTAGCTGGATCAAGATCACTAATGCCATGGCGGTGGCGGTGATGGTGAGCACTGCTGACCAACGAGACTAAGGCCGCAAGGAGAAGAGAGTAAAGCTTCATGTTACAAGATGAAAGGTCCAAAAATGATCAACAAGAATGGAGTAGAATTGATGAATGCAGAGGTTGAAGGAGAGTCAGCCTTGATATAGCAAGACAAGATTGAGAAGGAATTGTAAGTGTAGCGCGAACCAGTCGACAAGTAGTGCAGGTAGAAAGTGACGGAGGGTCATCTGCTCGCATACTTATATTGATCTCCTGTTTGTCTGTGCTGCTGATGTGCTTGAAGAAATCTGTCACCAGCAGTGAAAGCAGACTTGCATGAATGTAACCACAACATTTTTGTGAATGACTCCAAAGAGGTCACCAACCATCTTCCCCTGTCAGCACACAGTTTATTGGCCTGGTAAGTGGAAATAATTAACAATGGGGACTGATGGTGTTTGAAACATAACAAGTGTTTTGACCCATGGTTATTCTTGCCATATTGGGTCTACATGAGACTTCATCTGCCGATTTGATGCGCGGAGGTAGATGTGCTACTATAACATTAATGAAGGCCTAACGCCGTGAAATCGTCGACAGGATCCATATATAAGATGGTGGAGACATTCTGGAGTACGCTACCACCTCATAAACGGAGAGAGAATTCCGGTATGGCAGGAGTGGCTTGCTCAACAATGTGGATGCATCAAGTGCTGCAGGCACTGTGAAAGAAGACCGAAGAGGGAGTGGCTGACCCGCACACAAATTGGAGGGGCTTGTGTAACCCTGCAATAAATGGGAATAGCCTCGCCGAGAACCGGATCAGGCTGGCCGATGCAGGTCCCGCCTTTGTTCGGAGGTTGGCTACCCCGGAATATGGGTGGGGCCTGAAACCCTAGGTGGACGGGGTATTCGAATATACATCCAGCATTAGTGCGCCGTTCGCCCTGATCTAGGTCGTCAGGCACGCAATCTAGTGAGCTCGGAGGCTCTATCTAAAGTAGTAGAAACAAGAAAGGGATCAAACGTATCATCCTGAGTGTAGGAAGGTAATGATCTTGATCTAATTACATGCGATCCGAAGATGTAGAGCGAGTAGAGCGCCTGCCTTACTCTTTGAAAGATGCTCGTTGCAATCAGAGAATACTAGTCAGAAAGAACGTGATCATGGAGTCTAGTTATTATTCATGTCTCTTTCCACCGCTGGTTCTTTACTGAGTGCAATAACCCATGAAAATAGGTCACCGCATGAATTATACTCATTCAATTCAATTCAACTCATATTCTTATACCCGATCGAGCCGGCATAGGTAGATGCTTGCTCTGCAGGTGCTTCACCGTTTGAAGCAAGGATATGGCCCCGAACGCCTTCAATGCCCTCAAAATTGCAGTAAAAACACGTAGAACACATAGAGCAACACGTGCCATGATGTAGGAAGGTCGTCGTCATACCTAACACAACTAAACAGTCACAGCAAAAGCGAAAGCATAGTCATACAACAGTAGAAATATCAAACGAGTGTCGCAGCCGGCTTGCTGGCTGCAAGCCACCATCCTCTTCGTTCTTCGTCCATTATCTTCCTCCCAACATGCCTGTTCCTTCTGCACGTTTCGTCTTCCCTGCTGACTCAAACAGAGCGTCTTTTGTTCCCTCTACCCAGCGTCTTCAGCGTCCATCCCCATGGCCCTGAGGCCGACATGTTCCTGGCTTGGGTCGGGCACTGCCTGTTCAGGGTCAGGATCGAGTTCGACCTGGCGGAACTGCTTGAGTAGGCCTGCTTGCATCATAAATTCTGCGACGTAGCGGATTGCCTGTGGGCATTGTATCCTAGTCATTCAATATCTGCATAGCCACCAGACCACATCATCTGAGGCTCGAGCGGGGACTACAGTAGAACTCATCAATCTATCACGGAGCTGAAACGCCTTCGCCACTGTCAGTGCATTCATACTGCGTCTAGATGAAACTCCCAGAGAAACTACTACAGGTTTACGATAGAGGAACTGTTGGTCATGATTCAAGGAAAATACTATACATACCCCCCAGATTCTACTTGTACACCTTCCAGCCAAGTGAAAAGATAAGCCTGGAAGATGACACGACCCACGGTAAAGGTTCGGAACAAGGAGCAGAAAATAATGACAAATAATTTTCCAGGTATTTATTATACTTATCACTACTTCAGATTACAGTCACATTACTGATCATTTGAAGGCTTCAGTAAAGATTATTATACTGAAGGATGCAGTCTTTAGCAGACTGGTATTTTACTGTACTACTAAATAGTCTCTTTTATAAGCGCCCGGGACATTGACCAGAAAAGTACAATATAATCCTCTCTAAGCCTAATCAAGATAACCGCACGCGAAGAAAGCTTGGAAACTCAGATAATCTAGAATTATAATCAAGTAATGGCTATATCTCTATCAAGATATAGGTACTCTTCCGTCTTAAGCTACTTGATAACTTTAATTCTATAGTAATATCAGATTTAATGGAATTTTTCTCCAAGCAGTTGCATGATGATTCAAGCGAAGATGAAGTAACAATTTGTCCTCTGAGCTCAGGTGACCCGTGCTAAGCCTAATCAGGTAAAGAGCGAGGGTACAGGTAGGATTCGGGGGGGTATGTATAGTATCTTCCATTCACAATTCCAACGACTATAATCATTCATTAATTAATTAAAGTATAATGGGGTTTCATTCCCTAATCAAAGACATATGCAATGCCTGGTATATCAACATCATGCTGGGTATCCCCGAATGACAAACTTTTTCTGCGCATACTCTGCAAACCTGGGTATATTGTAACCACATGAAACCGAAACGCCAATAGAAAAGAAAGTACATAAAATATGGGTCCACCCCTGCGAATTCTGTGTTGCCTTGGCAGCAACGCAGTAGCAGGGCGCCCCTAAACTCTAACGCTGCCGGAGTTGGTTACCGATGGTGGTAACATTCTCGAGCGGTCGGGAGGCAGGTTGGAAACCTGGACAGACGTATACGCGGGTGGTGCAACAGGGACGAGCTCGGAGACAGATGGGGGCGCAATGCTGCGCGGGCTGAAAAACTGCGTGTTCACTTCGTCCTGGGAGATGTCCACCACGGTGCCCTTAGCTCCAGTGCCTGGCTGTGCTTCGCAGGTCAGCTGAAGTGGGACCTTCAGGGATGCGGTGGGCGTCAGAATCTTGGAATTAGCGGCGTGGTAAGAGATGCTAAGTTCCAGGGCGTAGGCGCGCGCGATCAAGCAGGAGTAGAACGTCGGCACAAATGACTTGGCTTTGGGGAGGGTGACTGGCACAACGACCGACGCGGTATAGTAGGTGTTTCCGGCGAAGGAGGCAGAGGGACCCGGCAACGAGTCAGTAGACGAGGTCGAGTGCATGGAGTCACGGCGTTCAAGATCAGTGTCGGTGTGTTTGGTCCATTGTGCGGATGCAACGCACATGGTGGACAGTGGGACAGTCTCGGTGTACATTGCGCGGCCCATCTGCGCCCAGGATTTGATACAAGCGGCGGACGGATAATCTCCCCAGGGATCAGAGCTGTAGAAAGTCGACACTCGGAGTTTGCTCCATACAGTGCCTAGGCGAGGGGGCTGTTCGTTGCCCACCGGATCGAAGCGTAGCTGCATCGTGGCAACGGTGCTCACCGAATCGCAGTTCCCGGTGTCGGATGGACTCAACTGCACTGGCTTGGGCTGTGCCGCAGCCAGCACCAATCGGCCCAGCTTTCCCCTCATTAAGCCGCGTTTCACATCCTTTTCTTTGCGGACGCTGTACAAGCCATCATTGTCCTCCACATTAAGGGGTGGTTCCTCGTCCACGGCAGGAATGACCCGCACCTTTTTCCCAACGGACACTAGCGTAACCGGCGAGGCGTTCTGGGCCATGGGCTTTCTCTGGAGGGTCACACGAACGAGGTAGGAGATGCGGCACATTTCGGGGGCCATGTCGTCGATGACCGATTTGCGGTTGCTGGCTATCATGGGATCACCAAACGTGGGTGGCAGCAGCGTGTGCGATTGTTCGACATGCAGATTGGTTTTGGCGTGGTTACAGATATGAGGCAGTAGACGCTCAGGTACCACAAAGGTGAAAGGGAATTCGTAGTTGCGCCCGGGTTCAAGAACCCGGGGGGTGGGATATGCGGACTCATCGATGGGTTGTCGCAGTCGGAGGAATGTATGGTAAGCTCCAGTCCGGCCGGGCATCGATTGGCGCTCCACCGAGGTCCTCGATGTTCCTGAACCAGTCAGTATGACTATAACCCTGGTATTCTCCTGCTATTCTTTTGAGGCAACATACCCTCGAATGTAATTTCTAGGTCATCAAAGCGAGTATCATGATCGACGGTGATGGTAACCGTACCCTTGATGGTATCGCCGGTGGTGAATGAAGGGACCAAGCCATCCGTTTGATTGGCGAGTATAATATTAACCTTGGGGCGGGAGCGAACCGTAAAGTTGGCAAGGGAGCTGGAGCCGCGCGTGATGATCGATGAGGTAGCCATTGCAGGTGGTAGAAGATCCAATTGTTTGTATACAAAGGAACCCGCGGTGGTAGCGGTTGGTAGTATAGAAGGGGATTGGCGAACGAATCACCAATTCACCCACGGGTAAGCAATTGGTAGGGTTGTAGTAGGAGACTGCAAATAATGGAAAAAGAGAAATCTGGGCAGAGAGACTGCGAAGTAAAAGCTTTTTAATATATTCAATGTCTTCTGAGAAAAATAAAAGGAGATAATAAATAAATAGAAATCAGTAATAAAAAAAGAATAAAAATTCAAGGGTGAATGTAGGGATGGGGTGACTGGCAGTTGCCGTTGGGTAATAGAAAAGCAGCGGTGGAGCAGTCAATGTTCGAGAACTGGATCTGATGCTGTTCAGGAACAACTTCCGGCTTTGGTTTTAGAGTCTCTGGCTATTCTCGGGCTTGCATTGCATCCTGGCTTGAATATGTACTTTTTCACTTCCAACTTGACGATGCAAGAATCGCCTACCCTCCTCCTGCACTCCGTCCACCCCCCTTCTGTGAGTCATGCTGAAGATGCACGTGCACGTGGTGGGTTGCTTTGATATTCGATCCAAGGGGATGTTAGAAGCGGTCCAGAAACATGCGGGTTAGGGGACCGAAAGAACGAGAAAAGCCTAAAAACGAAGCGCTCGAGCAAGTTGATAGGTCGACGAGCATCCTGCACGGGGACCGACCAATGCGATAGAGTCCATGGAATGAAGTCCGTGTGTGAAGTCAGTCGCTCGGGAAAGCAGCGATTGGCGGGCTCCCCCATCGCGCCCTTTGATGACAACTTGGAACTGCCGACCAGCAAAGCCCTCCACGCCCTACAGCAAATTGGTTCGTAACCAGGTTTATGGCCACCAGAAGGAATGCGAATGACGCCAGTGCTAGCTGATCTTCCATGATTGTCGGTCTACTACTTTTATTAATTTGCCGGGTTATTCTATACGCGTCTATTCTCTTAGGAGTTTAGTTTACCTGCAAGAGTCTGGTCACAACAGCTCGAACATTCTTGATGAGCAGTCCCCTCGCGTGATAGTGGTAGATCTCACGCCATTGAGTTACGGACCTTCTGATCCTTACGTGAAAGAAAACCCCCCATCAACCAGTCGTTCATTAGTGTTGAACTTCGTGACTTGTCAGCCTGTTCGTGTCCAAGTGCTGCGACATCGGAGAGACAAAAGACCATCCAATACAAGTTCTCGGGTGATCGGCGAAGGTTTTTGGATGACGACGGATGGATCAAAGTCCACGCCCTTGAAGTGACAACGTTGGCAAGCCACCGGGGTAAAAAGCCCATCCCGATTGGCGCTGACCGCCGTGTGCTTCTGACCAGTCACTCTAGCTGGTTCGCATCGCTATTTTAGGTTGGCTCCGACCCTCGCTTGCTTTTATTCCAATGCGCCCTTCAATGCGCCCTGACACAATCAAGCATCAAATTCTCGCGATGAACTACTATCAATTCAAAACTAGCGACCAAGGACGAACTCGGCTTCTATACGGAGTAGATCCCACATCGGTTTCCCGGCCCCGTTCTCTCTTCATTCCGCACCCAAGCGAGAATAGCCGCGCCAGATTTGCTCCAGACTTTTCCGCTCTTAACCGCTATTAGGGCCTTTTTTTTTTCTTCACGGAAATTCCGCCTCCTGAGCTCGTGGAGCTCTTAAGGGCTTTAAAATTTCTGGGACCTCCCGTTCTAATGTATGGAAGTACCCGCTCTGGATCTCCGATTCCACTCCACTGGTGCCACCCTTCTGATGCTGTTCTTCGCCTAGAAACGGGCCGGTTGGGCGCTTTTCCGTCCCTGTTTTCCGCGGCCAACACTTATACCGAAGATGTTGGTCGCAAATTTTGCATCCTATATCAATAGGCTTACAACCTAGGTTGTTCAATCGCAACAAAAATACGGGAATAACCTAGTGCCATCCGGGGTTGTTATATGCAATTTCAAGAAGACAGAATCGGGATGCCGAACGGGTTTCCAGTTGCTGACCCGTATAGCACATGCACATCACAATCACTCCAGCTAATGACAATTCGTACAGCAAAGTATCTCCGAGGGCTGATCTGCATAATGCGCGCATTAGCCGTTGTACCAAGCTTTGAATAATGTCGGAAAATTCAAGACCACAGTGCCAAGTCTATACCGAATAGGAAGGTCGTTTTACACACTGCACCTACGCAGTTGCATATTCATAGCCTATGATTGGTAGCAAACAGTTCCAAGGTTTTGGGTATGGTAAGCCCTTTGCTTGTCCAATTGGATTACAATCAGCTTTTACAGCACTCATTTGCCAGAGCAAGCTGAGGATAAGATACTAATAACAGTAACAGCATACATTATAATCCACAACTGAGGGATGGGTACAGTCAATTCAGTGCATGAAAAGTTTTCTTTCTCATAGTAATTGAGTACCAGAAGACTAAACTGACCAAAGCTATGGTAATATACATCGTGGACCTCTCGGAAAAGACAGACTACCGTAACAAACGTGACTGCATACCAGAGCCATGCGCATGCAGTGGCGTAGTGGTAGAACGTCACTAGGAAGGCCCTACTTGTATAAGAAGAGGTAGGGGGCCCTTTTCTTAGTAGTTAGAGATTATAGATTCAAATCCTGTTACGGGCACCTTCTCTACCCTGAGGTATCCATATAAAAATCGTTAGAAGAAATTGATTCCTCTAGAACCTAGAGCTGGACCTAAGATTAAGTATATCTACCATGGCTCGTAGGAAGGGGAACATAGTCTCAAGATATTTCCTTGATAATATATATCCTATATAGGTAGTTAAATCCAGAGCTAGCTTTGGGATCATCCCCTGTATATATATAAAAAAAAAAAAAAAAAAAAAGAACCATCGAGAGTAACTACGCGGTAAGAAGAAAATAAAGAGGAATATAGATCCTGTAGATGTCCACTCTAAGATATACAAGAATAGCAGGCCGGAAATATCTACTTGTATAGAGAACTTTTAGACTTAACATAAGGATCTATCCATTTACTTAAGCTTCTATTATCAAGTTAAGAAGTTTTGATACCAGACCAAGAGTATTACTTATATAACTGCACACGCAATCGGTGGCTGCATTAGGTTAAGAGAATATAAACTAAACTAAACTATCTCGTTTCAGCAGCCAAAGCGATCGCCTCAAGGTATATTTGGCAGATACGCGCAATTATCGTTTGCTGGGACTCTTTCCACCGCAGCTCTAGCACGGCGCACTTCATCGCAATAAAGTTAGCCTATCAAGGTTCGAAGCGGAGGAATCAAGTAGAAGGGGTCACGTTACCACTCCATTATCATCATAATTGAGGAAAGTCCATTGATAGAAATTGGTGTAGATGCCATAGATGGCTGCCTTGAAGCGGTTGTTTCTCCGAACCCGATTAATCACCGCTGATTTCATTCAAGTTTAGCAAAGGACGCAAAGAATAGTATATTCCTAGCCTGGAACTCACAAATGGCCGTGTGAGTCCTCGCATCTGAACGAAGCACCTTATCCCTAAACACCAGAAGGTTCGTTTCCAAAGCCGGAATCGATCCATAACACAGCATATAATCCACCGTTTCCTGATAAGAATCAGGGACTCCCGCTACCCGACGGTCCACAACGAGAGGAACCTGACTGAAAAAGCTCGGTGTATAATCGGTGGGTTGTAAGGCCGTGGGGTATCTCCTCTTCATTTCGGCTAGCAGTAGAAAGAGGATGGCATCTAGTCTGGGAAACGCCATTTCTGCACATTCGTGTCCTGCTCCAAGGGCTAGACTGTAATCGTTCATGAGGCCATCTGTATGAGATTAGAATATTGTAATTCTCGATATGGGTTGATGGGCGGAGTCATACTGAAACTCGCAGGTAGTCTTATTTGTGCTAGTTCTTCGTCAAGGGGCGACTCTTCCCTGTGTGTTTCGCTGGGCACGTTGGTGGCTTCGTCTATGGTGTCGAGATAGAGGTCGAATGTGTTGAGAACGGCATCTTCGCCTTTGTTACCTTTGGAGGGGGTGGTATCAATATTTTCCATAATGTCGTTATAAGTATGATTTAAATGAATGGGATAATGAGAAGAGCCAAGAGTTTTGCTAGAATCAAAGATTTGTACAGAAGGGTTTGAGACGATGTTTCGTGGCGAGAAGACACTGCTCCTGCCTCTTGTTTCTACATGACCTCTGCCTACGGTCTCTCCTTCCTCCCCGCGGACCTAGACCTACATACAGATATGTTGAGACCATACAGTCAAAACTAATGCAGCGTAAATCATTTCTTTTCTCGCAAAACCTCGATTCCAATGGGACAGAGAGATATCATAATGCGACATTAGTTAAACTCCGGCGCAGCCCCCTGGATCTTGATATAAGCCTGCTGAACCTCCTTTCGACCAGTCATCACCCGCAACCACTGCGTGATAAGAGGGTACTTCTCCAGCGACAATCCAGCAAAATCAAACTCTCGTACCCAAGGCTCAAAGTGGTAGTCAACGGCTGTAATTCGTCCAGGTAAGACACTCTGCCCGCCGGACTTCTTCAACTGGCCCTCCAGCACCCCATAGCAACGCTCCGTCTGCGCCGCATACCGTTGCAGGGCGTCCTCGTTCTTGGTTCCATTATAGTGCCTGATGCGTATCAGCAAGGATATTCCAAACCCCTTCCCACCCCTCCTGACATGTAGAGAAAGAATCCTACATACCTATACCAATTCGTCTGCCCCGTCATCGGCCCGAGCGTCGAAAGCAAGAAGTATTCCCACTTTTCGAAGTCCACTCTATCCTGCTCTGACCCCTTCGGTCCGAGAAGATTGTCCTTGTCATAGACACGACGGACGTAGTTCATAACAGCGCCCGATTCCCAGGACACCACACCGGTGTTGGGATCTTCAAGGGCTGGTACACGGCCGTTCTCGTTGATCTTGAGGAAAACCTCACCCTTGACACCCTTTTCTCGGTCGTCGCCGAATTCCCATAGTTTGACGTTGTAGGGAACTTGCAGGGCTTCGA